CTTCAAAAGACCGCCCCCCAAAAAAAGAATCTCTAAGATATTGAAAATATTATTATTTTAAAAATATATTTATGATAAACTATAGAAAGCCACTTGTGAACATAGAAATTTGGTTCCTGAGAAGAAAACAATCATAAGATGCAAAGGCTGAGAGAAGAAAGCTCAAATGGAAAAGCTCCATGGTGAACTGGCTAACAGGTCACACGATGGCCTATGAAAGCATCTCCCATCATGTTCAACCCCAGACTGGGCAAGGCCTGCTTCCTTTAGGAATGACTCAGAATGGTGTTAGAAAAACCTACCTGGGCTTTTTCCAGGCCTACAGAGCCCAGCTTTGATAAGGCCAATCCCCCAGGTCTCCTGGAATTGTAAATTAGAGCTTAGGGCCAAAATTCCTTTTCAGTATAGAGCCCACCGAATGCTCCCATCTCCCTCCTCTGACCCCTGAGTCCTGGAAGTGATTCAAACTACTGACCTTGAGTCACGTGTCCAGCAGCTTGGTCCTCTAGGTTAGGGGTATCTCCAATGCCTGCTTCTTCAGCTGGTCCGGAACAGCAAAGGGAGAGGACAGAAATAAAGACAGTTATTGCTTGCTGGAAACCATGCTCTCTGTACCTCGTGAATCTCGTGTAAAACCTGCAGGAGAGGTTCAGTCTGCTGGGCCAGGTGCTGTGCTATGCTTTTCTGCCAAGGCCACTGCTGGGGATGATGGTGACAAGGGGTACCTAAACAAAACCCACAGTGCCCACATACCTTCCAGATGACTGTAACCTAGGAAGAAAGCTTCTCTGTAGAAGGCTGAGGACCAGCTGCTTTGCCTGGATCCACAAAGATGCCAGAACTCGGGAGGTCTAAGATGAGTCACTGCCAACCCTGGCCAGTACTGCAGGAAGGCAAGGCTCAAGGAGAGACTGTGCTTGTTGGGGTCAGGTCATTGGGGTATGGACCTAGGAATTGTTACTTGCTTGACTTCTTTGAGCTTTTGTTTCCTTATTGGGAACCTCAAGGAGATGACTCAGGTTTGTCTTATAGGAAGATGGTGAGGGTGACAGAGGACAGAGCCTGGCACACAGGAGGTGTCCCAGGATGCTGAGTTCCTTCCCTCCAATCCCCTGTCATGTCACACCTAGAACCAGCCAGTGCTACCTGGCTAGAGGGAGGTACCAGCAGGGCCAGTGAGCAGCTTTTCTGGTGGGGGAGAGGTGGAGGATCTTAGGGTCCTAGTTAAGGAGCCAAGAGTCACCTCAAACAAAGAAGGCTGAGGCTGAGAAAAGTTCCAGACCACATGAGCAGGACTCAAGTCAGTAAGTGCTGATCCCCAGAGCATAGGAGAAACCAGGACACAGCTATGGAATGGCGGCACATACAGTTGTCTAGAGATGGGGTTTATAAGACAAGCAGGCCCCCGTTGACCTCAAGGCCTTTGAGACATGCCCACACAGTGGCATGCTGGCTGGACCACCAGCCTTCTCTCTAGACTGAGGTGCTCAGTTTCTGCTCCTAAAGCTGGCATACCAGCACAGCCCATCACGAAGAGCATGACAAAGGGAGAGAGACTGAGTTGCAGGACAGTCACATGCTGGTCTCATAAACAACCAGCCTCTTGGCTGTCTGAGGGCAGCTGTGGTGGGGCCAGAGGGGACAGGGAGCTCAGAAGCTCCTCATCTACCAGGTCATGAGTACAGATACACTCTAGGTCCCGTGTTGCCCGTGAGGTCCACTGGTGACAGTGCCTTGTCAGATGACACTGGGTCAGTTGTCCAGGAGGCAGTGCCCAGTGTGGATTTGGTGTGAGTTTTTGGCAATGTTATGGAAATAGAAGATAACCCCAGAGTGACAGCAAGTCCAGCTAAGCATCCATGGAGTCATTGAGATAGCAAACACAAGGAGGCATTCTGGGATACCATCACTTCCCCGGCACTGGGAGACTCAACTTATCTTTCCACACCTAGCACAGGGCTGTGATATCCTGCCCCTCGAATAAGGCAGAAACTGGGGGCTGCAAACATCTCTGACCTCAGCAAGGGGGCCTCCAAAAACACCCAAGGGGAGGGATGGTAGCAGCGGATGGCGTCACATCACAAAGGGCCTCTTGTGTCCCTGGGTAACATTTTCAATGAAGCAATAGACTCCTTGCTGTCCAGGGAGGCAGGCCTCCTGCAGTGGACAGCCACACAGCAGCCCTAGCTCAGTGTCCATGCTCAGTTTCACTGGAGCATCAAGATGCAGCCAACCCGTGTGCCCATGTTAGTACAAAGTGAGCTATATAAAGTTCTGCTATGAAGCACATATGGACCTTGAACTATGTACCCCAGGCAGGCCTTGAACTCCTGATCCTCCTGCCTCTACCTCCTAAGTGCTAGGATTATAGACATGTGCCAGCTTGCCAGGCTTGGTTCCACAGTCTTCAATGCATACCTAGAAATAGATACTTGACCTCCATTCCCCCTGGTTTGGGACCTGGTGGGCTCCATCCTGAGCCCCTCCTTGGAATACTAGAGGATGGGGAGGGGGTCGGAACTGCTCTGGTGGCCAAGCTAAGGAACATTGCTTCAGCCCTGCCAGCAGGCTTGTGCTCAAGGTTTGCTTGCTGGTGTTTGTCATAGACCTGTGGGTACAAGAATGTAGGCATCTTGGATCATGCCTAACAGGCCACTACTGGAAGTACGTCACCCTCCACAGAGGTGAGGCTGCAGCTAGATTCACTGGTGACAGGAGGGACAACACAGCCACCAGAATTCAGGACAGAGGAAGTGATCTTCAGGGAAGTAGGAGATGGGAGGGGAGAGAAAAGAGTCTAGAAGAATTCAAGTAAGGTCTCTGTGGTGGTTAATCTTCACTGTCAATGTGACTAGATTTAGAATCACCTAGGAGATTGGTGAGCCACACCTGTGGGTATGTCCGAGGCTGTTTCCAGAGAGGATTAGCTGATATAGGGACATCATCCTATGGGCTGGGGGCAGGGGACAAACGAACAAAAGCACATAAAGGAGAAAGTCAACTCAGTGCAGTGCCACCTTCTTTTCTGTTCCCTGTCCACCAAGACATGAAGAGTCTTCTCTACCACATACAGCTTCCATGATGCTTTACCCAAGGCTGTGGGGCCAAGGAGCCTGAGCTCAGGACCGAAACAAATCCTTCCTCCTTTAAGTTATTTCTGCCAGGCATCTGGGCAGAGTTATAGAAAGCTCCTCTAAACCTCTGCACAGAGTGGGAAGCAGTTCGCACCAGTGCTACCCCACTGCCTCTCTTACCCACTTGCCTCAGGCTAACCCAGAGCAGGGGCTGCCTTGAATGGGGTTACAGGTCTGGCTGTTGCATGGGACTGGCCCTATTGATGGACATCTGCAGGCCTTTTTTTTCCCCTCACCACATCCACTTTATACAATGCCAGGGATCAAGCCCAGACTTCACACATGCTAGGCAGGCACTCTTCCAACTGAGCTACATCTCCAGACTTTGCAGGTTGTTTTGTGACTATGAAGACTAATTACTTCTGATTACCAGGAGAGATGAAAAAGTCAAGAGTTTTTATCTCAGACAGGAGACAAACCTCCTCAGTGACAAAATCAAGTCATCCACGACCTGGCTCCGTGAGTCATTTCACGGCCTTCAAGTATCCTTCATGCTCAAGGCTGAGGAGTGGGCAGAGCTTCAAGAGCATTGACTCCACCCATCTCTGATGACCTCACTGGCAGCCGATCACCTTGCAAAGAAGAAACACCTTTTGAAGGGGCGGGGGGTGGCACTGCTTGCCTGCAATGGGTATTCTCAAAGCCAACATATGTGAAAGCCAAAGGCTTTCAAAATGGCTGCTGTGATGGTAATCTGCATTGTCAACTTGACTGGCGTTGGAATCACACAGAAGACACACATCTGGGTGTGTCTTTAAGAGAATTTATGGAAAGGTTTAACTGAGGAGGGAAGACCTACCCTGAATGTGGGTGGCACCATCCCATGGGCTGGGATCCTGGGGAAAAAGGAGAAAACCAGCTGAATACCAGCACTCATCTCTCTCTGCTTCCTGACTGCAAACGCAATGTCACCAGTCACCTCATATTCCTGCAACTGTGACTTTTCTGTCAGATGGATTTTCTCCCCTCAAACTGTGAACCCAAACAAACCTATCCTTCCTTAAGCTGCTTTTGTCAGACATCTGATCACGGCAAGGAGAAGAGTAACTAACACAGCCACAGAGAGCCCAACCCAGGAAAGAGCACTTTCCATCTCCCATGCACAGCAATCAGGCAGTTCTTATCAGGCAACTGGGCACCTCGGGTTCACCAAGCTAACTGCTGGGGTTTTCTGTGAACCCATGGAAGAGGGCACAAAGGGAAGGACGCCATGGGCTCGGGGGTGTGCTTACTCTTTCCCTAGGGATGGCTTGTAACTGAGCAGTCCAGTGCTCTTTCTGTCGTGTTATGTCTGACCAACTCCCTGTCATCCCTGTGGGTGGGACAGTTTACAAGGTTAGAAGACAATGCAGTCTTAGAAATGGATGTAATGGGCTGGAGAGATGGCTCAGTGGTTAAAAGCACTGGCTGCTCTTGTAGAAGACCCAGGTGTGAACCCACATGGCAGCTAACAACCATTTGTAACTCCAGTTCCAGGGGATCCAATGCCCTCTTGTCCTCCACAGGTACGGCGCGACATAGGTGCACTTACACACATGCAGGCATAACATACATACATACATACATACATACACACACCTACATACATACACACTAATAATATATATAGAGAGAGAGAGAGAGAGAGAGAGAGAGATGTGAACTCTAGGACTATCCTATTAGACCTTCTAGTTGTGTGGTCACTGTAGTTTCGTTGGTGCTCCTGGGGATAAGCTGTCCCCTAATGGTGACCTGACACTTGCTGGAGCTGGAAGAGTGGCAACTGGCCTTGGTATGAGGAAAGCAGATATCTGTCCCTACCTGCCTCAGAAAACTCTGCAGAACCTAACTGACTGAGGGAGCAGGAGTCAGCAGGAATCAGCTCTACAGCCTTGTGGTGGGAAGCAGCTGGACTCTCAGGTGCCCACAACTAACTAGCCAAGATCCCTAAGAGCCAGAGTCACTCACACACCTGGCTCACTGGGGTATGAGGATGACCTGTTCCTGTGACAGGTCTGCTGGGCCCTCACAGCCCTGGGGCTTTGAAGGTCACCCTCACCTGTGGTTCCTTCGGGGATCTCCGTGTGGGGCTGGGCAGCAGCCTGCTCTCCAGGAGCTCTCTCCTCCACTAAGGGCGCAGTCACGTCTGGAAACCACCAACAGTCACCCTTCTGCTTATGCAGAGCCAGTGCAAGGAAGGCGCTGCCCCGTAACATGCAAGAAAAGCCGGCACAAAGCAGGGCTGCAGTCCTCTTTCCCCATCTCCCAGGAAGCACATTCACAGAACAAGGTGCCAGGCCACCTGCCAGGAAAGCCTTGAGGGGTTGTGTAAGTGCTCCTGGGGTTTCTAGAAAGAACTGCTGAAAGTCTGAAGACTGTCCAGCTGTGTGATCCCTACAGTAGTGCGGGGGGGCAGCACTGGGACTGGGGCAGACAGTGTGGGGCACTTGAGATGGGGCTAAGCCTGCAGTTTTCCTGTGAGGTTTTAAGCAAGCACTTTGTCACTTCTGAGCCTTGATTTCCTTAACTACAAAACCAGGAATGCCATCTCTAGGCAACCTTTAGGGTTTCTACTAGTTGTAACTCCCTGCCTCACTCAAACTCCTAAACCCCTGGTTAAAAGGCACAGAGTTCCTTGTGTGGCAATGACCAGGCCAGGTCTTACACAGAGGTCAATCTTCCTGCAGAGGCAAGAGGTAGGAATCACTGGCCAGGAGCTTTGCTGGCCAGGAGCTTCAGACAGCATTTTCTCAGGGAACACACTTAGAGCAGCAGTCCTCCAGAGCCCCCTGACTCCCCACCAGGTATTCTAGGCACACCTGGGGAGTGATCAAGTCGGAAGGACTCCCAGAATTCCACACAACTTAGTTCCATAAAGGCCATATTTCTTATGGTCATTTCTGACGTGAATGGAAAAGCCCCAGCCACCTCCCTCCCTCTGGATGACAGCAAGGCACCTGGGGCTCCCGCAAGTACAGGTCCAGCAGGTCTAGACTGCATGGAGCCTTGGGTGGGAGCTTCATCTAGGACATGGCTGACAGGATACTGAAAGCCATGTTTGGGAAGCTGGCACCAGGTCTGGCATGGAGTTTCTGGACTTTCTCAGGGTGCCAGGCAACTTGTAAAACTGTCCTAACAAGATGAGCAGGAACTATCTTGCATCACTCACTGGCTTTTGGGAGGGCCAAGGGAATCTGGCCAAGACGTTCTCATCAGGCTAATGACTTTGTGGGTAAGGGCCACACCAACTGCATCCTCCAAGGGTGCACCACCATGCCAAGTAATTAGCAGGTCATGTTTTGGATTAATCTAGAGGTAGATGCTGGGTGAGAGAACACCCAAGCCATGTGCAGGGCTGGAAAAGTGCTCAGAGTAGAAGCTCAAATCTCCTTGGAAGGATAAGGTGATGGGGGCCGATGTCATGGACAGGTTACTCAAGAGCCAATGTCAATGTCCTTCCTTGATTTCTTCTACTCAATGGATTGAAAGCAAAATGATCAGTATCTCTAGCTTTGTAGCCAGAGCATAACCAGAAACTCAGTTCTGACCAATGAAATGCAAGTGGAAGTCTGTCAGGTGGAACTTACAAGAAAACCCTTGCCTTCTTATAAAAAGGGACACATTTTGGTATGTAAGATTAAAGTGGTATGGGACTGGAGAGGTGCCTCAGAGGCTAAGGGCACTGACTGTTCTCACAGAGGACCCAGGTTCGATTCCCAGCACCCACATGGTGGCTATGAACTGTCCTTAACTCCAGTTCCATGGGAATCTGATGCCCTTTTCTGACCTCCATGCCAATGCATGACAGGGTGCACTCACATACATGCAGGCAATATGCTCATATACTTAAAATAAAAATGATGAAATATTTTATTTTTGTCTTTTTTTTGAGACAGGATCGCCCTGTAGCCCCAGCTGACCTGGAACTCACTATGTAGACCAGGCTGGCCTTGAACTCACAGAGATCCACCTGCCTCGGGCTCCCAAGTGCTGGGATTAAAGGCATGAGCCACCACACCCAGCTCCAATGGTTTAGTTATTATTACTGTTTGTGTGTATAATGTCGGGGAGGGGGCTGCACACACCACAGCGCACATATGGTGGTCAAAGGACAACTTTGTGGGGTTAGTTCTCTCCTTCTACCTTTACATGGGTTCTGGGGATTAAACTCAGGTTGCCAAGATTTTCATGGCAAGCACCTTTACCTGCTGAGCCATCTTGCCAGCCCTGGTTCTTGTTTACAAGGCAGATGTGATGCTTGGGAGTGCAGCACTTATCTTTCAACTATGAGGCAACAGTCCAAACACTTAGGATGACATGAATACTGAAGAGCACAAATAACACTGGGGATTTGATACCCGCATCCAGACATCTCATGATGCAAGCTACATAAGCTTCTTCAGTTAGTTGGGCCAAATGCAGTAGTCTGAATTGACATGGATGGGAAACGAGAGAATGTGGCAGACATCAAGACTAGGGAGCTTTTCAGGAAACAGAGAGGGAACTTCACAACAACCCAGACACTAACTGTCTAGAGTGAACAGGTTAGGAGGCAGTGGAATACATTCCAAATCCAGAGGCCCAGGTGTGTCCAGAGCCCAAGAAATGAAGAACACTACACCAAGACCATCCCGACCTGTGGGCATGGAGATGTCTGACCTGACCCTTCCTCAGCCAAATGAATGTTCTGGGCCCTAGGGGCCCCTGAGAGAAATGTAAAGTGGGGACTTCTGAGGGGGTTATGGAGGACAGTGGATACAGGAAGGAGGCCCTGAGGAGCTGTGTGTGGGCCCTGCTTTGCCACATAGCCCAGTTTCTCCAAGTGTCTGAGCACACAGGAGGAAGATGCCCACAGTGCACACTGTTGAGCCAGGCCTGGAAGCAGGGCCCAGCTCCCACAGTACTGTCCTGCAAAGCACCAAGCAAATACATTTCTCAGCCAGCAGAAGAGGAAGCAGCAAGCGCAGCCACAAGGGTGTGCGCACACACAGCAGTACACAGCCGGAGGGGTGACTCAAAGCAAAGTAAGCACAGGCTGGAGGCAGGGAAGAAGCTGCTGAAGGAAGCAATGGGAATAGGGAGGCCCCACCTTCAGCTGTTGGAGTGCTCTTAGCATCAGAGGTCTCCGAGCCTGGTTCCTCGGATCCGTCATCGGCAGGGGCCTGCAGGGGAGACTCTGGAACATACACAGTGAGCCTTAAGAACAGCTGTCTCTAACCAGAACCTCTCTGACCTCAAGAACGCAAGAGTGGAGACCTTTGAGCTGCAAACCCCTCAGTGTGGATCCTATAACCTTATGATCAAATCATGAAGGAATTAGCACCGCCATCCCAACACAACTATACCCCACCCTTGTTAGCACCTGGATTAAGATGTAGGTCTGCTCTTGGGTGGGAGGAGATATGCCTTTCAACCAGTCAGGTCAAACCAAGGCAAAGCCCCTTATATTGACAGCCAAGCAGCAGATCTAGAAAGCTAAGTTACCCATGACCTTGCTGCATTTTTTTTGTCTTTTTTTTGTCTTTTTGAGACAGTGTCTCCCTGTAGCCCCAGCTGTCCTGGAACTCACTATGTAGACCAGGCTGGCCTTGAACTCACAGAGATGACCTTGCTGCTTCTACCATCACTATTGATTAATGAAAAGTAGATACCTAGAAGACCCCTCAAAGAGCCAGGACTTAGTCAAGGGAAAGGAATCAGCTGAGGGAAGCACAGTGCCCACTTTTACATGGCCGTGTGGCTGTGTCTGGCCTTCACCCAGTTCCTCCCATAGAAAGTTGTCCAAGGACGGATAGACAACCACCATGGCTGGAAATGTCAGCCATGAGTACTTGCAAGATCCTTTCAGAATCTGAAGCGGGGGGAGGGGAGAGTAGGAAAGGCCAATTGACCACAGTGGTTCACAGCCACACCCTCCACTATTAATGTTTTTGGTAAAGTGGCTTTTGCTGGCTTCACAGAATGAGGAATCTATCTCCTCCTCCTGGAAGGATTGAACAAATTCCCTCACATGTAGCACGCTGGCCACTGGAGTAAATCTTCCCAAGGTATCTCATGGATTTCACACACTTTTCTCAGCATATAGGGCTGGGGGAGCTGAGGTCTTAAAGTACAGGAGGGTAAGTGTTCCTGAGCACTGGACTGCTGACCAAGCTGTCTGGGTTTAAGACCTGGTTCTACATCTTTCTAGTTAGGTAGTGTACGATTTGCCTCTTAGGACATAAGTTTCTTCTCTTATAAAATGGATGATGCTGGAAGTAGTGGCTCATGCCTGTGATCCTAGAATTTGGAAGGTAGAGGCAGGAGGATTTCCATGAGTTTGAAGCCAGTCTGGACTATCTAGTAAGTTCTAGGCCAGCCTGGGCTACAAAAAAATCTTAAAACAAATTAATTAATTAATGAGTGGCAATGGTATCAACTCTACTTGCCTCCTGGAGCTGGTGGGAGAATCCCACGAATGAAAATCCTAAGTATTTATGTTGGGGAACCCTACTGTTAGGGTTGCAGTTTCTCTATGTCTGGATAGAGAAACTGAGGGGCTCGGCACCAAATGGAAAAACTCCCTTTTCAGCAGGGGGCCTCCTGCTCTCTTCCTGGTTCACCTTGAAGTGCCGCCAACCACGGATGCCTGACCTTATCTGAAAACATGGCCTTTAGCATAGTTACCGGAAGTAAAAACTACCCGCAGGTTTTTTCTATACAATAATCAGGCATTGTCTGATAGTCTGGAAGATAGGAGCCCACTGCCACAAGTAAATAAAGCATACTATGAGCACCTATAACTGAGGCTTTTGCTACTGCCTCCACACTATAAATTCTCTACTTTTCCCACTAATAAATGGAGCTGTTTTTCACTGTGCCTGGAGCCATGTCATTGCTGTTTCACTGCGCCTGGGACCAGCCTGTGATCAGTTTCCCCGGAAGAGCTGTCTTCCGTCAGCACCCACTGGCCGTTCTGACCCCGTTCGCCACTTCTGTTCTCCCTGCCCTCGTGGATCGGTGGCCAACGACCGGCGAGCACAGGGAGAGTCTCCCGCAGCTGGCCCGAGCCTCCCGCAGCTGGCACAGAGCCTGCCTGCATATTTATACTTAGGGACCTAGTTCTCATCTAATTTAAGGGACCAAGTATGGGAGGGGGGGTTGCAATCCTGAGCTTTCCTCTTTAGCTCAATCCCACTCAGACTGTCCTCAGGTATCCATTATAGTAAGATATGGCTCAAATTGGATGGATGGTTGGATGGATGGATTTGAATGACTGAACGGATTGGATGGATATATGACTGGATGGATTACTGATGGAGAGGATAGAGAGGAAGATGGAGGGATGGGTGGGTGGGTAGAGTCTTGAATAATTAGATGGATGTACAGTTAGAAGGATGGAGGGGGAGAAGGAGGAAGGCGTGGATGGAGAGATGGATGAGCTGGAGCCCTCTGCAGGACCTCTCAGTCACCTACTTTCCCTTATCTCCCGAGCCTACTCCTGAATGCCCAGAAAGGCCTCTTCCCAGTGGCCTCGAAGCTTCTTAGTGCTCACCTCTGTGTGGTAGGTTTCCTACTTTTCACACCCTGGTTGGCTAAAGGGTTTCCTTTGCTGCTTAACTGTCCCAAGTTTCATCAGCATGGAGGTGCTTACAGAATATGTAAAGCACTTTGTACCCATGCCTGGCATGTGAGATGCCACCATGGTAGGTGGTGATTCTGTTTGTTGGTCATATGCCACCTTGGTTAAAGGGTCCAGGGAAGTACTATGCATTAAAGAGACCTTGTGGGGCTGGAGAGATGGCTCAGCAGTTAAGAACACTGGTTGTTCTTGCAGAAGACCCAGGTTTGAATCCCAGCAGCCACACGGCAGCTAACAACTGTCCATAACTCCAGTCCCAGGGGATCCGACAGCGTCTTCTGTCCTCCTTGGGCATTGCATGACACAGATGCACTTACCTACACGCAGGCAATGCATGTATACACATAAAAAAAAAAAAAAGACCTTGCAAGGTTTTTTTTGCCCCTTTTTTTTTGGTCTTTTTGAGACAGGGTCTTCCTGTAGCCCCAGCTGTCCTGGAATTCACTATGTAGACCAGGCTGGCCTTGAACTCACAGAGATCTGCCTGCCTCTGCCTCCCAAGTGCTGGGATTAAAGGCGTGCGCCACCACACCTGGCTTTTTCATGGTGATGATGATGGTGGTGGTAATGATGATGGTGATATAGTTGTTGACTAACTGACTAGGAATCACCAGAGTCTCCTAAAGCTAGCTACCCACTGTACCAGATGGACAAATGGATTCTAGCCATGTGAGGAAAAGTCCAACTCACTTTATGGTCCTGGTTTTCACAAACTTAATACCCCATCAGGCTCAGTATGAACACCCACTCTGTGGCAACAGAGGGACCCCACCTGGAGCCTGTTCAATCCACCTTCCTTGCAAGCAGAATTCTGATCCGATTCAGGAAAGAGTTGTGCCCTGCTAAGAGGCTACATCTTTCAGCCTCTTGGTCAAGCAGGGAAAGCTTTGGGATAGGACATCCAGAAAACAATCTGTCCAGGAGGAGTCAGCCAGGTGAGTCACCTTTATGCCATCTCCCCTTCTCCCTTCCAGTAGCCCTTGTTTCTGCCCCCATACCCCCATCCCCCACTGACAAAGTCTAGCCTACATATAGCCCAGGCTGGGCTCAAATTTGTAATCCGGGTCCCACTATCTTTGTTTCCTACATGTGGAGGTTCAGAGGACAACTTTTGGGAGTTGGTTCTCTCCTTCCACAGGGGTTTCCAGGGATCAGACTCAGGTTGTCAGGTGAGCATTTGCATCCAATGAACCATCTTGCTGGCCTTCTGTTTTGTTTTGAGACAGGGCCTGACGTAGCTCAGGCTGGCCTAGAACTCACTATGCAGAAGATAACCTTATACTCCTGATCTTCCCGCTTCCACCTCTTAAATGCTGAGATTACACACATGTGCCAGGCATACCTCAACTTCGTGTTCCAGATTTTCTGACCCATGAGATACCTTGAAGATGGAAGCCACATACTCATGATGGTGGGTTTTCTCAACCATGTGAAACGTGAAAACCATTTTCAGCTCAACACATTCACAAGTGAGGAGTCAGTGGGCTTGAGGGCCATTCTTGTCAAACTATAACATAAGGAATGGCTCTTGACCCTCAGTGACAACAGGACCAAAAGGGGAGCGTGTTCAGGCACAGGGCTGCTGGGGGCAAACCCAGGGTTTGTGATGAGGAGGTCTAGACTGGGTGAGATATAGTGACGTCCCCAGGGAGCTATAGAAGGTTGCTGTAAGGGCTGGCCAGGGCCATGATGAACCAATGGGTAGGGAACACTGAGAATGGATGGCATTTGCTAGGCTGTAGTGTGGTTAGGGCATTCAGTGGAGATGGAGGCTGTCCCTTGGGCAACAGTAAGATTCTGGGGTCCAAGCAACCTTAGAGTCAGGTGAACTGGTTCTATGCACAAAGCAGAACACAAAGAAGAAAACAGGCAAGTGCACTGTGATCAGACATCTCACAGTCTTGCTCAAAGCATAGCCCTGGATACCCAGCCCCACTCATACAGCCACAAAAGGACCCTTTTTATGTTTTGTTTTGTGACAGGCTCTCATGTATCCCAGTCTGACCTCAAACTCACTATGTATCTGAGAATGACCTAGAATTTCTGATCCTTCCTTTTGCTTCCACCTCCCATGTGTATGCACCACCTCAGACAGGTATGCACCACCATGTCTGATTTACATGGTGCTGGGGAGTGAATGCAGGACTTTGTATATGCTAGACAGGCACTCTATCAACTGAGCTACATTCCCAGTTCCATGCAGGGCCCATTTTAAATATGCTTCCTGCACCCACACAGCATCTTAGTTCTGGAACTTATGAGCACCTGTAAAGTGACTCAAGAAGGTTTTGTGCTAATGGTGAGGCAGCCCCATGCAGACTGCCTTTGGTTTTGTTAACCAGCTGGCCTGCAGTTGGGTGTGGTGGCATCCTCTCCCATCCACCCTCACCGTCATTGTTATCCTTGGAGAGAGGGAAGAAGGAGAAGGAGCCGCCTCCAAGGCCTGGAAAAGTGTAACATAACAGGCACCTCTTAATTCATGAGGCACATGACCAGCTCCCCCACAGCTCTTTCTGCCTGGATCCAGTCCCAGTATAACTTTTAGCCTCCACTTAGATGCTTTGTTTTGGTATTTAGCATGTAGTCTCTTGTTATTTTTCAAAACAGTCTTTTGTCACTTACCTGAACCATTGTTAGCACAGTGATACCTTCTGCCAAACTGTCACTCCCCAGGGAAAAAAAGCTCATTTTAAACTCTCAGTAGCAAGAATTAATTTGATGACAACTTGTTAGCTGGGTGTGGTGGCCCATAACTTTAATCCTGGAACTTGGGAGACAGAGGCAAGGGGAATCTCTGTGAGTTCAAGGCCAGCCTGGTCTACATAGTGAATTCCAAAACTACATATTAAGATCCTGTCTAAAAAATTTAAAAATAAAGAAAAGAAAAAGAGCATAATGTTAGAATCCAACTGCTCCTCAGTCTGCAGTACTTTGCAGCAGTTGCACACATGCTAATGATCATACCAATTTATAGGTTAATGGGTGAAGTGCTAAGACCTGACAACCCCTCTCCCCAAATTTGTCACACTCTATCTGGTACTCTCCTCTAGAGAGGGGAATTTTCTTCTTCTTCTTCTTCTTCTTCTTCTTCTTCTTCTTCTTCTTCTTCTTCCTCTTCCTCTTCCTCTTCCTCTTCCTCTTCCTCTTCCTCCTCCTCCTCAAACATCAGCTGCCCTTTTGCACGATCAGCCTTACCTGTGTCGGAGAATAGCGCTGGGCCAGAAGGAAGCAGGGTCTCCCTGTAGCCCAAGCTGGCCTAGAACTCACGATGTAGACCAGGCTGGCCTTGAACTCACAAAGATCCACCTGCTTCTGCCTCCCAAATGTTTTTCTTCTTTTTTAGAAAATTAATTTATCTGTATTTTATGTGTATGCTTATGTTTTGCTTGTATGCATATACGTGCACTATATACATGGAATGCTCATAGAGGCCAGAAGAGGGTGAAGGATACCCTGAAACTGGAGTTACAGACAGTTCTAAACTACCATGTGGGTGTGGGAACCAAAGGCAGGTCCTCTATGCTCTTAATTGCCGAGCCATCTCTCCAGCCCTTGGAAGGTGAATTTTCAAAAACCCTAACATTTATCATGGCCCATTCAAATTGATCAGGCACCCTCTACTGACAATCTAATACAACAAGACGTGAATGACTCCTTTACAGATTAGGATTTTTCTGAGCATGGTGGCAGGTGCCTTTAATCCCAGCACTAAGGAGGCAGAGGGAGGTGGATCTCAGATTGAGGCCAGTCTGGTCTACATAGAGAGTTCCAGGCCAGCAGGGGCTATAGGAAGTCCTTGCCTCAAAAAAAAAAAAAAAAAAAAAAAAAAAAAAAAAAAAAAAAAACAGAAAAAAACAAACAACTAGGATTTGAACCCTTCCTGCCAGCCTCTGCCAAGGCAAATGCAGGTTGTGTTCCAATGTGACTCGCTTGTTGTGCATGGCCATCCACTGACCTTTCAAGCCGTGGTCCACGTCCCCATCTTGGTCTTGAAGCAGGGTGTAGCTTCCAGCATGGTCATCCATTGTGTCAAACTCCTGGCGAGGCTCAGCCATTCTGATTCAAACCTCACCTGGGGAATAAAAGAGAGGCGTGTGAGGCACAGGTGGGAGCCAAGCCTGCAGACCTGACGGGTAGTGGAGTGGGGGGGAGAGGGAGTGAAGTGCTCTTCCTCCACATTATAGCAGGCAGGCCTTGGTCTCCTCAGTCCCCTAATAGGCAGATGCCCAGTCTCACTGGGTGTTCCAAATCCCTGCCAAAACATGTGACACTTCTGGGCACTCAACCACCATCACAGTAGCTTATATTCGAAACCACCAGGTGAGGTAGGTGAGGCACCCAGCTCACGGCCATTCCCAGCACTCCTTCTACGTCAATGAAAAGTAAATGATTCTGTCTGGTAGTTCAGTTGTGGAGTGTAATCCGGACGTTCTCCCGAAAACCTGGAGTAGATCCAGGGTGAGCATGGGCGATTCGGAGCATGCTGGGAAAAAGGGGTGGAGCCACTGCCTTATTGAGCACAGAGGAACGAGATCGAGGAAGACTATGGGTGGGAGATGGATGACGCCTGCATTTCGAATATGGAAAAGGAAAACCCTTTAAGAATCCGTGTCTTTGTAAGTCAACCCCTCCCAAATGTCATATAAACTATGCAAAATCCAAGTAGAATATCTTATGTTGGGTTGTCAGCCCTGGGGCCTCAGAGGGCTTGGATGCGGGCCTCTGAAGGAGGGGGAGGGGAAAATTTAGTAAAACAGGGAGGGAAGCTGACTGCAGGGCCTCAAAGTGGTTGTCCCGTGGATAGCAACTGGCTGCAAAATCAACTCTGGGCCCAAACTCCTGGGCTCATGATCCTTTTGGTTCAGCCTCCCAAGTGGCTAGGACTATAGGCCTGCTCGTTATTTGTTGTTGGTGCTGGAACTGAGGGCCCTATCCATGCTGAGTATACACTCTATCACTAAATTACATACCTAACCAAATCGCAGCTCCAGACTTTGACTCTTTAACCTTTTTTGGCCCCCACCCGAGACAGGGTCTCATGTAGCCCAGGTTATCCTAGAACTAGATATGTAGCCAAGGATAACTTTGAATTCTTGACCCTCCTCTTCCACCTCAGGTGTACACCACCATGTCTAGTTTATGTAGTGCTGGGGTTGGAACCCAGTATTTCTTGCAAGATAGGCAAATTCTCTACCAACTAAGCCACATCCCAGTCCCCAAATAGTTATTTTTTTTTCAAAGATTTATTTATTTAGTTTAGTTAATATGTATGGATGTACACCTGAGTATATGTATGTGTACCACATGGATACAGGGCCTATGGAGGCCAGAGGCATTGGGTTCTCTGGAACTGGAGTTACAGGCAGTTGTGAGCCACCTGATATGGGTGCTAGGAACCCAACCTGGGCTGGGCCCTCTGGAAAAGTAGAAAATGTTCTTACCTGCTGAACCATCTCTCTAATCCCTCCCCAAACAGTTTAACAGGGGAAAGGGGCACAAAGGCAATTGACAGCTTGCACAGAGTGAGCCACGTTCCCTTTGGACATAGGATTCGTCAGAGGTGGTTTCTCACCACCCTGCCTCTACCTCCAGATGGGAAGATGTGCTCTTGCTGCAGCTGCGAGCGCCCCCTCCAGCTTCTGCATGTCCACCTCATCGGTGACACATGGGTAAACTTCAGGGCATGGCAGCATCTGGAGGAGAGCAAAGCAGCTAGTTTGAACTCTGCTCACCAGCAGAGACAGCACCAAAGAGGTGCCCTAAGGTGAACTTGGCAGCAACGTGCAGGGTTAATGGGAGAGTAAGGAGTGCCTATCGGCAGAAAGGTGATGGCCACAGTTCAGGAGAACAGTTCATAGGCTAGAACTAGAATGTGGACAATGGGGATGGAAAGGAAGGTACAGGCTCAAGAAGGGTAGCTTAGAAAATGCTAGATTGGCCTTCAGAACTAGGTTGGGATCAGGCAGGGAGATTAGAATCCACAAGTATACTAGAGGCAGGAGCTTGAAGGATAAAGAGGAGAGGAGTAAAGGGACACCATGGGGACAGAGGAAGGAGCTGGACAACAAGGGCGGTTCTCTTTGTAGAAGATCAGTGCTGAGGAGAGACGCCCCTCCCCCAGACAGCATTTTCCTAACTGGTGATTAATTTCACTTAATAAACTCTAGGAAATTTATTCACTTATTCCTCTGACTCCCATTACAATTAAATTTTTCATGTCTTTATTTTTGTAAATTTTTCAACACAGAGGAATTCCACCTTATTTGTTAATTTACTGTGTGTGTGTGTGTGTGTATGTGTATGTGTTCATGTACATGTAGATGGATTTGTGTGCAAGGGTATGTGTGCAGGTGGGTGTGCACATGTGTGCATAGATATGTGGAGGCCAGAGGGCAACTTTGGGTGTATTTAAGGCATCCTTCATCTTTTCTCTCTTTTATCCTTCCTTCCTTCCTTCCTTCCTTCCTTCCTTCCTTCCTCCCTCCCTCCCTCCCTCCCTCCCCCCCCTCGTCTTTCTTTTCTTGGTTTTTTTTGAGACAGGGGCTCCCTGTAGCCCTAGCTATCCTGAAACTCGCTATGTAGACCAGGCTGGCCTTGAACTCAGATATCCACCTGCCTCTGTCTCCTGAGTGCTGGGATTAAAGGCATGTGCCACCACGCCTGGCATCTTTTCTTTTCTGGATTTATTTATTTTATGCATGTAAATGCAATGCCCACTGAGGATGGAAGTAGGTGTCGGATTCCCTGCAACTGGAGTTTAGGATGGTTGTTAGCCATCACGTAGGTGCTAGGATTCAAACCCAGGTCCTCTGCAAGAGCAGCCAGTGCTCTTAACCACTGAGCCATCTCTCCAGTACCTGCAAAAGCGTTGTAATGGCAGCACGTTCTCGGACGCAGTTCCTTGAATTCCAGTCCTGTTTTAAAAATTTTTGTTTTTCCAGAAGTATGCCTCTCCCCACTTTTTAAAAGACAGGTCTCTCAGTGGCCAGGAACTTGCCAAGCATGCTAGGCAGGCTGGCCATCTAGCCCTAGGGTCTCTCCATCTCCCCAGTGATGGAGCCCATGTCACTGTGCCTGGCTTTTTTATTTTATTTTATTTTTGTGTATGAGTGTTTTGCCTGCATATATGTAAGTGCACCATGTGCATACAATGCCCATGGAGGCCAGAAGAGGGCATCAGATTCCCTGAAACTGGAGTTACATCTGGTTGTGAGCTGCCATGTGGGTGCTGGGCACTGAATCTGGGTTGTCTTCTGCAAAAACTTTCAGTGCTCTTAACTAATCTCTTTGTCACCCCCACTTTGTTTTTAAACAAGACAAGTATTTTACCAACTAAGCTATATCCCAGCCTGGGAATTCCCATTTAGCTTCAGATCAAGAGTCAGCAAATACCTTTCTATCAGAGGCCCAGTGGGTAAATACTGTAGGTTTTGTGGGTCACACTTGTCTCTGCTAAGGTGGTGGGAAAGTAGCTATGATGATCAGGAAGCCACCACAGCTGTGTTCTGAAAAAATGTCATTGATGAAGAAAAAAAGAAAAAAAAGGAACAAAAAAGAGCAAACAAAAATAAAATGTAACAAACTTCACTGCTGAACGTTGGAATTTTAATCCATATAATTTCTTTTTTTTTAATTTTAAAAATATTTATTATTTTAACTCCATGTGTACAAGTGCATTGCCCACATGTATGTGATGCGCCCATGTCATGCAGTGTCACAGAGGTCAGAAGAGGGCCTCGGATTCCCCTGGAACTGGAGTTAAGGATGGTTCGAAGCCACCATGTGGGTGGCCAGGAATTGAACCCAGGTCCTCTGCAAGAGCAGACAGTGCTCTCAACCGCTGAGCCATTTCTCCAGCCCCAATTCATATAATTTCTGTGGGTCATGAAGTATTATTCTTTCATTTCCTTTTTAAAATATTATTTTTATTTTTTATGTGTTTGAGTGTATTGCTTGCATGTATGTAAGTGTACCCATGTTGTGAAATGCCTGCAGAGGTTAAAAGAGGGCATCAGATCCCCTGGAACTGTAGTTAGGATAGTTGTTAGCTACCATGTGGGTGCTGGGAATCGAACCTGGGTTCTCTGTAAGAGCATCTCTCCAGCCCCCTTTTTCTTTTCTTTTTTAAAAAAATTTATGTGTATGAGTGTGTGGCCTGCATGTGTGTGAATGCACCCAGGTTGTGCAATGCCCTCAGAGGTCAGAAGAGGACGATGGATCTCCTGGAACTGGAGTTACGGACAGTTGTTAGCCACCATGTGGGTGCTGGGAATCGAACCCAGGTCCTCTGTAGGAGCAGCCAGTGCTCTTAATGGCTGAGCCATTTCTCCAGCCCACATTTTTCTTTTTTTAAAAATTAGGTTCTCAACAGGGAGACAGTGTCTCAAAAAGACCAAAAGAAAAAAAGAAAAGAAAAGAAATATGTGCATATTCTCTTTGTATTAGTTTAACTCTTCTCAGTGCATAGCTCTGGCTGGCCTAGAATCACTATGTAGACCAGGCTGTCTGCCTCTGTCTCCTGAGTGCTGGGATTAAAGGTGTGCTCTACTATAACTGGCACTTTTATGTTCTTTTTTCAGTCATCTGAAAATACAGAAACATTCTTATATTCTTAGCTTAATGATTTGGCCTGTGGACCACAATTTATAGATTCCTTCTTAAGATTTCTCCAAGCCTTTTTTTCTTTTTGAGACAAAGTCTCCCTGTAGCCCCAGCTGACTCACAGAGCTCTATCTGCCTCTGCTGGGATTAAAGGCATGCACCACCATGCCCAGCTTATTCTCCAAGGTATTTTAAAAAAGATTTTTTATTTATGTGTATATGTCTATGTGAGTATATGCCGTGTGTATGTGTGGGGGTGCCCACAGAGGCCAAAAGAGGGCACTGAATCTCCTAAAGCTGGAGGTATAGGCAGTTATAACCAGCCTGAAATGGGTGCTGGGAACCCAACTTAGGTCCTCTGGAAAAGCAGCAAGTACTCTTAACCACTAAGCCATTTTCCCAGTCCCTCAGTATTTTTATTTTATTAAATTTATTTATTTATTTATTTGAATATTTTTGAGACAGTCTCCC